ACACTGATACAAGCTATAGACAGGTTGGTTTGGAGTTGAAAAACTTTTTTAATAGAATGAGCAGGATAGTAAATATTTAATACTTATAGTCTGTGAGGTCTCTGTCTACTCTGTTGCTGTAGGTGAAGTCAGATGTAATTAATATGAAAATGAGTGACTATAGCTATACTCTGTTAAAATTGTATTTACAAAATCAAAGATTTCACCACTGGTTGACATTTGGGAAAACTGATTCTAGATAATAATACCAACAGCTACTACTTACTGAGAATCTCCTGTGGGAAAAGTATGATGCTTTTTATAAATTACTTCATTTATTTTCTCCAGCACTCCATAAGGGAGGTGTTGTTGCCCCCATCCTACTGATAATGAAATATGCTTCAAATTCTACCCCAGACATACAAGTCTGTAATTCAAACTGTATTTCACTGCAAAGGCCATGTTGTTTACTTTGATGCTTAAATAAATGGAAATTAATTGCATTGTACTTATTATTAATATTCAATAAATACAGCACATCTGATGTTTTCTACATTTGGTGAGCTGACATTGTTTCAGTTACTATAAGAGAGTATTACTGAACATCTTCCTCTAATTACTATTTACCTTCATCTCCCATCTCCATGTTTTGGTAAGATAGTTACATCTCCTACGCTGGAGTTGCAATGACATCACTGTAATGATGAAACCCAAAGCAAAGGATAGTTCTGTCATTGAGTAATGATAAGACCAAGCCAACACAGGCCTTAGAAGGCAATAAATGTATCAGGCATCTAAGGCAAGGCTCACTGGGAAGCTTGGATAGGAAAATGTCACTGGTAAACCCTGCTTCCAAGGGTTACCATATGCCAAGCTAACACTTACTTGTAGGCAGAAGGATATAGGAAGAAGAATCATCTGAGAGAGGGATGCGGAGGGGGAGAGAGAAAGAGAGACGCAGTGATTTTCTAGGACTGGACCAAATGTGTTCTGTGGGGTGAACCATAACAATATTAATGACTATTTATTATCCCTATGATGCCTTACCGGCGGTTTCTTCACTTATTAAAACATAGTATCTGTATCATAACACACAAGTATAAACAAGACCACACAGCTAGCCATGGCCTTGACCTTCAGACTGACTTCCAAACCATTATTTTACCCATTCTATCACAGTGCTTCTCCTGAAGACTTATAGTATGTATGGAGTCAACCTTGGGCCTTGTCAGAGTTTAGAAAACCCAAGTAGAAACTCCTTCAAATCCTAGCAACTCAGCTGAAATACCTTTCAACCTGTCTATCTGCAAGGCCTTTATTAAAACTAAGAATTAGTACAAAAGGATTCAAGGCCATGGAACGACACAGACCCAGATAAATCTGTGAACTTCTTAGGGTAATTTTAAGTACTACTAATAGAATTATTCCTCATAGTAGTGAGGTTAAGAGTGTACCTGAGAAAACTTAGACTGTCCAGGTTTTGAACTTGAGCAACACTGTTTTTACCTTTTTTGCCACCATTCTCACCTCTAAAATGAGGCTGATCATATTCACTTCATAGGGAAAGTGTGAGGCCTGAAATAACACAGACGTGTCACATAGTAAATGCTCATTTTAACTGTTGGAATTGTAATTAGCTATATGACTGTACCTTAACACTGTGTTTTCAACTCAATGACAGATACCTATGACAGACATTCTCTACCTTTGCATTGTGTTCTTTTGCTTATGCAATGCATGAAAAGCAGCTGTTTTCCCTCTTGTTTCATGTATCAGCACCTTTATGGAGACGCACAAGTTAAGACTGCCCTGAATAAGCCCTTTCTCTTGCCAGGCCTCCCCTCTTACCTTGTGCATTTGCACATTGCCCAGTACCCAGCTCAGGGTTTGTTGAACTAAGCTGAGCCACAGTCCACGCTGAGATGCCAGATAAACTCCATTTTCTGTTATTTTTATTCCTTGATGCTATTAATTCCCACAGTCTCCACTGTTCAGGTGTGGTATAATATCTACGCTGGAGTCTCGACAGTGTGTTGTCAAAGACCAGTGGTTCCTAAAGTAGCTGTGCTGTGTCCTAGAAGGGCATATTTGGGGCACGCTGTCGGGTCATATAGCTTGGAAAGCACTACTAACATTTAGTGGGCTGGAGACAAGAATGCCAGACCCAGTCTCTTACCAAACTCTCTTGTATCTCACTGCTTTAAAGGTCCTTCCAGACATTCATGTGTGCTGATGATTATCTTAGCAGAGACCCTAACACCATTTTTCATAGAAATTTAAAATTTTGTGACTCGTACTTAGTATAAGCTGAATCTTCTTGGGTTTTTTCAAAGGAAGAATGAACTGTGTTTTATATATAATTTTAGCAAGAATTGTTTGCTCTTTCTAGAAAGCATGTCATTGGTCCTAACAGTATTCATTATATGTAAGTTGCTATTAAGAGCAAAGCAGAAGAACTTGTATGTATGGTGTTGCATTTAGGGCAGCTTTGCCCTGAGAGCATCTGACCACATTATGTCTGTCAAGGGGAATAATGCCTGACCATTTTAATGTCGAAAAGCATATTGTTCTGTCATAAACAATGTATTCTTCTTTTATGTGAGTTCGTGGATTATAATTTTTAAAAATTAATATAAGGGTCCCCCAAGACTACTTACTCCCAGCATTGATGATTTGTGAAGAGGACTCAACATATAGTCATATAGTTTGTATCCACACTAAAATTTCTCACAGTGAAAGGATATAAAGCAACAGGAAACAGTGCTCAGGATAAAGTCTGGGGAAGCCCAGGCACATACGTCCAAGGGTCCTATTGTGTTAAAACTATGCAGGACATGCTTAATTCTCCCAGTGCAGAGCTGTGACAACACATATGAAACGCTATCTACCAGGGAATCTTATCAGAGACTCAGTGTCCGTGGTACATAGAAATTCTGGAACTTTAGAAGAGATCAATGTTCGTCATGCATCACATTATACACAAAAAGTGTATGTAGGCACTCTTGTCACTGTCAGTTAAGTGTCAGGTGCAGGCTCTCATCCAAATGCCAACAAGGGCAACCATAAGCTGGCCTTTCAAGACACAACAGGTAGTCCTGTTACATTAATTATTTCTGTATGGTAGATCGCAGCTATGCACATCACTGTTTACAGTAGTTGTAGGTCAGATAGATTGAAAACTCCTGTTGTAAACAATCTCCACCCCCAGGTATCTACTGATAGCATAGCAGAGGACTGGCTAAAGCTGAGCAATTACACATCCGCAAACATATATGTTCCATGTGCCCCAAAATAAAAATTTCAAGTGTAAGATTTCAAAAAAAATCATTTTCTTCTGCCAACTCTGTTGTTAGTGGAGACATAACAAAAAGAACATTTTCTCCCCTGTATTATGAACAACCCTGGGATGTCCTGTTTTCCCCCTTTTTAATCTATCTGTAAACTAATTTCTTTAGGCTTAGTAGATACTCAGTAAATGATAGTTGCTTCTTTTGCACTTAAATTCTTTGCTTCTTATTCCTTCTGTAGCAATTCCAGACTTTAATTTTTGTTTTAAACTTGAAAATCTCATAGCACACATTGTTGTTATGGGTTACAAACATGATTTTGACCTGAAAAGCAAGAATTACTCTAACATCAGGGCAAAGGACTAACCATGTAATACAAATAAAACTATAATTTGATGTCACCAGGTCACCTCTGATAGCCCCTTGGTCAACACCATGCTGTGGAATAAAATAACAGCTCCAGCAGGCTCTTCCTGAGTACAATGTGCATAAACAACAGGTGTACAGTTAATTGTTTTCTCATCATGGTGCATGTTTCACATCCCATAGCTCTCAATTGAAATATCAAAAGAATACATAAAATTAAGTGATTCAAAGATTTAAAGGATCCATGCTGCTTATGAGAGAGTGGGAATCCACTGAATTCAATAAAAGGAATGATAGCCATAACTGTTGCTATTAACGTCCCTAAATATATAAAGTTTACTTTTCACTTTAAAATTGATGCTCTAAACTAACATGCAAACAAAGATACGTATACACATTCCAGTAATGTAATACAGTCCATACTTGGATTTTACAAGAGAAAGTTTTCTAGTTTTTGAAGTGAGCAATTGAAAACAAATCCTTGTAAGTGTAGCATAAGGTGATAATGGTTTCATGTTTTTTTGCTGCTGCATCCACACTTAGACTTGACTCTTTGCAAGGGAGAATGAGACTGCGGTTTTGTAGAAAGGATTGTGTCCGTAATTACACTTGTAGCCATTTATTGTCCCCGGCCTTGGAGCATTTCCAGGCAGATGCACCTAACTAAAGATATGTTAAGTGATTTTTAGCACATAAGTATGTGTGTAAGACTCCTTGTTACCATCTGTTGTGGAACCAGCCATTTTGCTGGTATAAATCCATATGGCTTGCCTCTCCCATCCCATGATAAAACCAGAGATAGTAGTTAAAATGAAATGCAGCCAACAATGAAAAATGAAACAGCTAGTCAAGCAGTTGCCTCCTTTGTATTGAATTCTACTAATGTTCCCTTTCCTCTCCCATATGACTTGCTCTCTGTTACAATGCTGTGATGCTAGTAGCTTTGGGGTCCTTACGGAAAAGCCTGTCACTATTGAATTAATTCCTATTGACTTTGCTGAGGATGTGAAATGCTATATTTCGAGATAAAATCAGATATGTAATGTAACTGAAGAGGCCACTAATGCTTTAATTTAGTCACCTCCCCTTCCCCTACAGCTTTTTTGCCTTCCTCCTAAGGGCAAAAAAGAGATGTAAACTATATCATTAATTAGGCTTGTCATGAACTATGCCATCCCTCATTATCATGAATTAAATTATTGTAGATGGTCGTCCTGGAAGTTCATATTAAATTTGGTGGCTTACTTTGAACACACCATGTTTCATTAGCCACTCACCTATGTAGAGACACAGGAGAGAAGGATAATTTGTCTGTGTCCTGTGGGTAGTACAAGAACAGCCGTAACACTATGATTAAAATCCACTTACCTGTCTGTACTTGAGGTAGAAAAAGCTGGCTTCAGGGTATCACCCCGCTGAAATCACTATTGGCTCAGAGATCTCTATTGTAATACGCAGGCCTCTCTGACACTGCTTTTGTCTTTCTGACTGGCTCCTTATTTCACTGGACTCTTTGAGCTAGTCAGGATAGGGCAGGGGATGCCATGGTAACAACTACAGAATCTCCATGGCTTGAAACCAAACATTTATATCTTGCTCTAACTACATGTCTTCAGCAGGGGACCTGCACATGTCTCACACTCAGGAAATGTCTCTTAGGCCAGCCACCATCTGGACCATTGCCAGTCCCAAGCCAGAAAAAGGCAGGCTCTGTGGAGAATAGGAAAATATCACCTCAACACTGAAAATTCAGCAATCTGAAGCATTCTACTCAAAATTCATTGGCTCCACTGGCCACATGGCTGCAACCAATAGAGGGCATGTTGCCAGGTAGAAATGAACTCAACATATTTAACAAGTAGCATTCATGACTTATTCAGGTCCTTCTCCCTTCTTTTCTTTACTTCAAAGACCACAAAGCCAAAAACTATATTGTTTGTCAGCTCTCCTTTCACCTAGGAATATCCACATATTTGAGCTTAGTAGATTAAATTGAAATATGAAATGTACCATGGAAATTTATGGGAAAGTTTTTGCTCTCCCAACCAAGAACAGTTATACTTGTTTTTCTTTCATTCTTACCCCTTCTTTCAACCCGGAAGGTAGAAGCAATGTCATGATATGCAGTAACCGTCTTAGATGAGTGCCAAATAAAAGATGGCAGAGAAGAAAGACGGGAATGGTTTGGTAACTCCATGTCATTAATGAACACTATACCAGCCCTGGGGTTCTTGCCCTGGGCATTTTGCTGTGTGAAAAATATAAACCATTATAAACATAAGTCATTGTAAGTCATGCTTTCTTGTTCTTTTTGTTTATTTTGGGTTTTTTTTTTGCAGCTGAATAGAATCCTTAATCATTATTTATTCTCTTAAAGGAAAGTATCTCATCCAAAGGAGGTTTAGAGATTTCTAATTTCTGACCTTGCTTTGGACTGTGTTCGTCACTTGGATTCTCTGGCTGATGTTTTATGTCAACTCACTCTATCAGCCAGGATAGACTAGGATTGTTGTTCCCAAATTATCAGTGACCACTTATTTCTATATTGAGGCCACGTGAGGAAAATGGCACCTTGTATGTTTGAGTCACTGTGATCTCGAAAGGTGAGATCCTGACTAAAGTATTTCTCTTTGAATTTAAAAGGAAAACTTCCCATTTCAAAGGGCACATTACCCACGATCCATGAATGCTCTCAGATTTTCTTACAAAAAGCTATCTGAAGAAATGCTTCCATATAATAACCTCTTAAAGGTTCCCAGTGTGTTTCTAATGGTCACCTTCATCCATCTGGAAAAAAGATAGCAAAAAACTCTTTTATAGCTTTTTCTTTCTCTGTCCTCTTTCAAAATTGAAGAACCTTCTGAAAAAAAAAATCCTTTAATAAAACGTAGAGCTTCCATTCTCAGAATTAAAAAAAAAAGTCTTGTTTTCATGTCTTACCTAGTTTAGGAATAAAAACTGTTGGGAAGAGAAGAGATTGTAAAACTTTATAAAGGCTTGAAACTTCCTGTGAGATTCTCTCCCTATCCTGAGAATTTTGCAGAATGTAGCTTGTCTTACAGAATGCAAAACACTTTTGAACAGAGACTTTAATTTGCTCAATATTAACCTTGACAAATTAAGGTTCTGTCATAGAAGTGAGTGAGTGCCTCCTCTTCTGAGAATTTGAGACCTTGAACATCTAAACTGAAAGAGGGTGGCAGAAAATTATCTCTTTCTCTCTGCTGCCACATCTCATAGCATCCCTGTTCTGTCTTTAAATTTTTAACAAATTCTGTGAATGACTTTAGCAATGACAACAGCAACAAATCTAATGAGAAAATCTTTGGAAAAATACTGCTGGATTTCTACCTCATCAGCACCCATGGTCCTAGGAAGGACAGCTCTTTCCTTTTTGACCGTGTATTGATCTCTCATGTTTATCTTAACCTTTGTTTCTCCTTTGCCTCCTACAGGAAAAAGGTAGGAGTTAGATAATTATATTAATTTTCCAGACATCTCTACATGTTTTAATAGCCTTTTGAAGTTTGAATGTAGTTGCTCTGTGAGGGCTAAAATAGAATTAAAATATAGATTGCAACAACAATAACAGTCATAGATATAGTGCTCACTTTGGTAGTAAAAAAGCGAATTTATTTCTCCACTGAAGATTCAAATTAATGTAAGTTCCTTACCCAAACAGTGCTGGTTCCTCCAGGTTCTGCAGGTAAATGGTATGACTCTGATTGGCTGAAATCTCCCCATCCTTGTTCATCCACTTGGAAAATTGGTGTCACAATAGAAGTTTGCATATCACGTGTGACGTGAGGTGGGCGATGGGGAGCAGCTAGGCGATTTGGGATTTCAGATCAAAGAAGCCTGTATTCCTCCCAGACTGATCTTTTTAAATGCTTAAGATGAAAAGACATAGGATTATAAAGGAAACCAATTACATTTGTCCCTAGGTATCCACCAAAGATTGGTTCCAAGACTCTGCAGATACCAGAATCCACAGATACTCACATTCCTTAGTATTTTCATATACCCTACTTTCCTGTATATTTTCAAATCATCTGTAGCTTATTGGTAATGCCTAAAACAGTGTAAACACTATGTAAATAGTTGCTATAGTGCTTAGGGAATAATTGAAAGGGAAAAACATCTACACATGTCCAGTACAAATTGGATTTTTTCCCAAATATTTTAAAGCCGTGGTTGGTTGAGTATATGGATTCAGGACCCATCAGTACAGAGAACTGACTGTATATTGAAGTACTATTACCAAGACATTGAACACTGAAAAGACATATGATATAGTAATATAGGAACTTCATTTCATAAACTCAAAGAGGCAGGTCTAACACAATTCTTTAATACTAGTACATGTTTGCAGTATATAGTTTTAAAATAATTATGCATATACACAATATTTTGAGATATTTTCCATTGTAAGATGACAAGATGACTGTGGTTTCTGTTGGAAGCAGTGTCACAAGTTTATACCACTGTAGTTTGATGCAAACATGTCTCACTGAAGGGTATGGCTAATTTTAGTTCAAGTTTAGTAAAACAGTAATTGCATTTTTCCCTTTAAATTCACAAATGCCCTGAATTCTGTGTATGACCCATGGGGTCTTAAATACCCCATAGAATATATATTATCCATTTCCTAGAAATTGCATGTCTGCATAGACAGAAAGACAATATTTGTATTATTCCTACCATGCAGAATTTTATATTAACCTGTAGAAAATATTTGGAGCCTATGCTACATATTTGATGTCATTTGTGGTGACTGTGTCTCAATAGAGAATAGACCCTGGATTGTGTTCCCAGGAGCCTGTGGAGACACCACACTTGTTTTCTTGGCCCTCTTACCGCCAGCTGTGGGGCTGGAGACAGCCTAGAGAGTTTGTTGGTCCTTTTTATACAGAACCATCTGCTCAGGTGGGACCTACCAGAGATATTAACACTACCACCTGCCCTGTGCTACTGGCCATGGTCACGGTGTGGCTAGTGCCTGTTTTATAATCTGAAACCTGAAGCCTTCTGAAACAAAAGGGAAAATAAGTGAACATTTCTCTTGGGATTCAACATTGGTTCTACCGTGCAGCATTGTTTTAAAGGAAAATACATTCAAATTAACCTCTATATAAATGTAATTATCGGGGAATTTAAGCCTTGAGAAAAGTGAGATTTACAACCAGGAAAACTTTTTATTTCTTGTAATATACTAGAGAAACTGATTTCGCTTGTCCCATTACATAGTGATAAAGCAACATTTGATAGCAGCAGCAGCCTATGTGATAAAATGATTATGGCAGCAGTGAGAAAGAATCTAATAAGGGAATTGATCTGCAGATTCCAATTCTTTAAGAGCCAACATCGATCAACACAAATGTCAATAATGAGATTATATCTAGAACTACCTAATTCCTTCAGATGATTCTGGAGTCTAGCAGCAGATTCAAGCAGTAAATGTGAAAAGGAATGTAAATCTCTCACAATCACTCCATTGGCCAACAACATACAGGATATTTTGGTCCCTCATGACACAGTCTATCTGGGTCCTGGATAAAATGGATGTGAGAGAAATTGTTCAAAGATTTTCATAATGTAATATGTGTATTATCAGTATCACGTAGTGATAGTATATTAACAGTTGTTATTAGACTAAGTAATTGTGGTTAGACATTACTATTGAAGGACGGGGGGAGAAGAAAGGTCACGCTCCCGTTTGTAACCTTGGGAGGCCGCGTTTACACTGCAGTGGCAAAGGAAACTGTTAGTTCTCAAAGGTTGGTCAGTAAAGGTTATGTGGGTTTGAACTCTCAAGTCTTCAATTGCCATTTTATACACATTCATTGATTATCTGCCGAAAGTTTTTTACTAAGAGGTGGCCCTGACTCTGTGTCATGTTAGAGGCCAAGGATGGCAATGAGACAAATGACATTAAGTCAACTTTAAGATAAGGAAAATTGGGAAGTGTTATGGAAAGTGGAGCTGCTCAGGAGCAGAGCAGGAACGTCAGGCAGGAATAGAGGGAAGACTGAATACAGGAAATTGGCTTTGTTCATATCCACTGGGGCATGTTGGGAGGGGAGCCAGTGTTTGGCCTTAGTGGTGGAATCCTCGCATATTTCTTGTCTAGGCAAGATCATTGTGCACAGCATGAGCAGTTGTTCTCCTGTGGGGACTAGAAAGAATTGCTTTGAAGCAGGCAGAGCTTAGAGTAAGCTGATTCTTACATGCTGATTTGTAAAATAATTGTGACTCAGCATTGACAAAACTGACCTCCCCAGAAGTACTGTGTCCCTCTCCTTCCTTGTTCGTATTCTACCTCAGCTGGGCAACTTACTGTTGACTTTACATTTTCTGGAATTTGTCACCAAGAGAATAATTCTACAGCAGAGATGATCCTCATATTAAGAAGCTATTTAAGGTCTTATTGAGGGGGTTAAATTTATTTTATTTTACTTTATTTTTCCAGTACTAGGGATCGAACTCAGGACCTTGCACTTGCAAGGCAGGTGCAGTGCCAATGAGCTAAATCCCCGGCCCTTAAGATCTTATTTTTGATATGTGGTGGCAGGTACACATTTACCTCTGTCACTAATTGAGACTAAACCAATTTAAAAAATAATAAAACATTCTACTCTGGTCCTGGAAAATTATTTTAAAGTTCAAAAGTCTATGCTTAACCCAGTAAATTCACCACAGGGATGTAACTAGATCTTCCATTGATTATGGAATATTATTCAGAGCCTAATGATAACCACGTAAGGTAATGGCCAGCGCTGGATTCATAAGTATATGACTTATGCAATCCCACATGGAGATCAGGAAGACTCTATTCTTAATTGGATTTTCTGCTGCTACCACCTTGAATTATTAACATCTTCTTTGCAAACAGCTTCTTGAACTGAGCCCCTACAAATTATGTCCTTGATCCTGAAAATAGCTATCCTTTTCAAGAATCTAATATGGTCTAAGTACCTTAACCAATTCATCTCAACCATAGAAATTCAAGGTTTCCTTCTTGTCTTCATTAAGCCCTTGTGAGTTAATAACCCTACTATTATCCCTAGAAGAAACAAAAACTCAAAATGTAACATAACTTACCCTAATTACATAAAGTCAAGATTTAAACCCAAAATTATGACACTTTGCAAGGACAGGGGGGCGTACTCTCTTGCCTTCTGGTTATGGATATAACAAATAGCAAGGGTAGCTGTTATGTGGAGCTGAGCCAAGGATTTATCCTAAATGCTTAACAGCTAGTTTTGTAATTATTATTTTCTTTTTTTATTATTATTATTTTTTTGGTACCGGGAATCAAACGGTCCTTGTGCTTGCAAGGCAGGTGGTGTATACTTATTATTTTCTTTGATATTAAATGTGTCAACAGTGAAGCCTTAGGAACTCTTACATTGCACTTAATTGGGGTGCTTTGGTAGTGCAGTGAACATGACCATAATTTACAGACATGGACTTTGTAGAGTTTGGTGACACACTGGACTGGGTGACCTCTTTTGTGACTCAACCGATGGCTTTTTGAATAAGTTCACATTTTATACAGTGACTAAAATTTTATGCACTCAAGTTATAAGGCATCTTTTTTCATCAGTTTTTGATGAGTAGAATTGGACTTATGAGAAGAAATTTACCAATGCATATCAAATAGTTGAAAAAAGAGGGAGTTTAGCCTTATAGCCTCTAGAATTATTCACATACTGCATTTGAGGAGAAATATTTGCATAGCTTTCAACCCAAGGTCTGCAAAAAAAAGTATTGTCTTTATAACCAGCTGATTACTAACAAGTGTTCAAAGCAAATTTTGATTTACAATCATAATTACTTCTTGGGAATGTGAATTTCTTATAGCTGCTTAAATAAGTCTACGAGCAGTTTCTTTTCTCCATAGTATTCATTTCTTTGTAATAGTTATTTATAGATCCATAACCAGTTCCTTGGTTAAAAAGAATTCACTTTTGGTATTCTCTGAGATTGAAAATGATGCCCATGATAGAACATGAAAGGAAAGCTCAAGAAAGATTATTGTGCATCTTTGAGGAAAGTTTGCATCAAAGCAATTTATGAAAATTAATAGCTCTTTAGGGATTTGTGAAGACAGAATAATTTTAGGATTATGGTAACTGGCAACTGTCTCAGAAGAAAACAGAGATTATGTTATTTATATTTACACATCAAATATCTGCATAATACTTTACAATTTCCACCCTAGGAGATTAGGAATTTTACCTTCTTTCTTTGAGACTGGTTCACAGATTCAGTGTTTACAAACTCTAGACGTTCTTAATGAGAACAAAATATTGAATGCTTGCAGGTTTGAAGCGAGTACATTGCGAACATTCTTTTATGTCCTGTGGAGGATTTGTCTTTTTAGTGAATGTCTGCAACAGTGGTAGCTCCCTAATCTGGTGTGCCGATCTTTGTAAGGTCACGTCTGTGTGCTTCTGTCTCAGGTGTTATGGTGGAGCTTTACCTCAATGGAGGGCTTGCTGTGGAAACCAGAGTGGTATTAAGTTGAAGCCTGGCATCTTTTCTATCTCAGATGCACTTGAATCATTTTCCCTTTAGGCGCTTGGGGAAAAAATGCAAAATGAAATTTAAATTTAGAATATATTTAGCAAATAAGAGAAAAATAAAAATAAATCCACTTGACTTGACAAATCCTATGTTATAGTGGGAAACTGCTGCTTGCCAAAAAATGATTTAGCCTGGTGAAATGTATTTTGCAACTAATCCTTTAATGTCTATTTTACATATTACCCTTCCCACTGTTAACATTGAACAGCATTGTAGGCTAGTAATTGTATGCCCTATATTTCAAATTGCTATTAGGAAGCTACATAAATAACAATTTTCGGCTGCTTGTTTATAATACCATGAGGCATTTCTTACCACCACAGGGTAAAGTAACAGTGGATTTTAAAAACTTCACTGGGGATGATACTATAGGGAAGCTGGGATATGGATCTGTAGTAACAACGGTGTGAGGAAAACTGAAGTGATCAGCCTGAAACCTTGATAAATGCATAACTCAGTTGTAACCATCTGAAGAAGTGAACAGTGAGTTTCAGTGAACATTCAGCCGGATATCTTTACATCATATATCTGTGCAATGTTGTAAGGTGACTAGGTCCTCAGCAACTTGTCCTATTAAAAGCAGCACACGGGGCAGTAATGCGCACCTGAGTGCACATCACAAAAGCCGTCTTCATCAACCCTGTTCCTTGTTCCCCCCGAACCCTGCAGTGAAGGGCTATGAGAAGGAAACTTACAGCCTGTGAAGTTCCTAGTGGTTATGTAATCATCCAAGCTCTGAATTCCATCCATTTAGTCTTTTCTTTAATAATGTAAGAAATTGCCCATCTTATAAATAATTCTGTATGAATTTATTTTTTATTTTTTATTTTTTTTCGTTCTCCAAAACACTGACGAGGCATTTTTCCCTTTATTGGAGTTTATCTTCTCATGTTAACTGATAATCTTTGGATTTTAATGCCCCCTCTTTGTCGTCACAAGAATAGATAGAGCAGGGCCTGGGTATAGGTTTTTCCCTTCATCTTTTATCTTTTATGATAGACTACATTTTTATTGACACCTTAAAATTGTGCATATTTGTGGGGTGTTATGATGTTTTGAATCATTCATCAAAATTACATTGTATAATTTCAACTCAGGCTGAACATATCGGTCTCCTCAAATGCTTATCAGTGCTTTTTGGAGAAAACATTCAAAATTCATTATCTATAGTCACCCTATTGTGTGGTGGGACCCTAATCTCATGCTATTTAACTGAACTTAGCCAGCTGACCTGAGCCTCTTTCCATTGTCTTCGTGTGTTTGCCGGATAACATATGGAATCCTCTGGGATCACAGAAGGAATCGCAAAGTATCTTCAGCATTAGCTGTTACAGATCTGCAGAGCTGGCAGTTCTTTGCATGGTTCTAGCATGCAGCATAACTGGACAGGAACCCCTGTCACTCTTCTAGGAATAAGTACACCAAGAGGGCATGACGGCTGTGTGAGTGTCCACTACGGCCACTCCTTCTTGCAGGGTCCCTCTGTAGTCTCTTCTAAACCTTTTATTTCAGTAGATATAAGAGGATGATGGAGGCTGCTAGCCAGGTTCAGCATTGGGGGGAAATGTGGCATGGATAGAGGACTAACAGGGCAAGCATGTACTTTAGACAGTAGTGGATTCAAATCATAGCTGTGCCACTTGTCTTAGCCAACTTTGTGATTTCACTTCCTGTTCACTAAGATGTTTATCTCACCATTTGCCTCTTTAAATCCTCCTCTGTGCTCTAACTGAACTTTTTTTAGAAAAGACAGCACACTCTCTCATCTCTAGACCTTTGCATAGGCTCTGTCCAGCAGAACTTGTGTGTGTGTGTGTGTGTGTGTGTGTGTGTGTGTGTGTGTGGCAAAGGTCTGAATATTTGTGTCCTATAATTTATGTTGAAATGCTGCCCCCCCACGTTAGGATGACACTGGGAAAGTGATTAGATCATGAGGATGGAGTTCTTGTGAGTAGGATTAGTGCCCTTATAAAAGAAGCCCCAGGTAGCTAGCTGCCTTGCCCCTTTTTCCTTCGAGGTTACAAAGAGAAGGTGCCATCTGTGGACCAAACAGGAGGCCCCCACCAGACACTAAATTTATCAATGCCTTGATCTTGGACATCCTAGTTTCCATGACTAAATTTTCATAGTTTATAATCCTCTCCGTTCATGTATTTTGTTGTAGCAGCTGAACAGACTAAGATACAGATTCCATACCTGAGCAATCCTTTCTGGTTTTTAATGTCTCAAGTGTGCTGAGCCTTAGCTGTGGCTGCCCTAGGATTATGTCTGCTAGGGCCCTTGCTGAGGCCTTACATGGCATTTTACATTGAGGATGCCTGGTCAGTCTGTCAGAACCCTAAAGGTATAGGGACCATGTTTGTCCGTCTTTGTTCTCTGTTGTCCAAACCTGGCATAGTGGCAGAGAGTGAGTTGCCATAGGGACAGCTCTACAGTCCATGTCCAATTTCAAGTCCTTGACATGAACAGTTTTAATCTTTCACTTCATTTTTCTCACCTGCAAAATAGGGATAATGATATTTTCTACCTCATAAGATGAATATAAGGCTTACATAAAAAAATAATGTGATTAACCCAGTATCTGGCATATGATGGTGGTGAATGTTCTCTAAGGGTTCTATGTTGTTTGGCTGAATTTTATTTTACTATTAGGTCCAGATTTATAGACATAGTTATAGTGGACATGTAAGAAGGAAATACCTCCAACAATACCAGTCATTACAGCAACAAAAACAATAATGAAATATTAATGAGGGAAGTGTGTTTTAAATAAATTAGTGAATTATATTTGAATCTAGCAAGCAAAAATATCCTATTATATTTGGAGGTTTTTCTTTTAAATTCTAGGCCATTTTATTGATATTTTAATAAAGTATCTATTACAGGCCATCATTAGCCAGATTTAATGGAGTAAAATTAAAGAGTACAAATTCTCCATTCAGACTGCTTTGGGGTTCAGCTACTACTTACGTGATTTTAGGCAAGACTGTTTTAAGTTGCCTAGTGTTCATCGTCTTTAGCTGTAAGACAGTGAGGTTAATAACATTCAGTGTTGATCTCAATGAGGATTCAAAGGATAATATTCATAAACACCTACTTAGACTAAAAGGAGTTCAGTAAATGTTCACATCTGTTATTACTGAGGTGGTTATTATTATTATTATTATTATTATTATTGTGAATTTCTCAGTTATCTGCCCGTGAATAATCTCAGCCAAAAAAATCACCAACACTGTTGAATTTATCTGATAAGAAAACCCGTAAAGTATGGGCTTAGCACTTAGGGAGGAATAGTATCTTCCATAGGCGTTGCTTTGTAAAAGATCCCACTGAAGGTATCGGTTCCTTTCCCTTATGGGAAAAGCAAATAGGATGTAGTGTAATTTGGACTGGTAGGGAGGCAGAGCTGGGAGAAAATCCTGGCTTTTCCACTTCCTGAAATACACATCGCCTTGAGGCTGTGCATGTATACCTTTCGTAGCTTCTGTCATCTTGAGTTCTTACTCTCTAAAAACTAGGATAACAGCTTCTTTCACACAGTGATGTAAAGACTTATGAGGTAAGCTTAGGAAAGGGACTTTATGCAGTGTACCCTCCCCCACAGAGGAAGAAGTAATTCATTTCGTCCTAATAAATAATACATTGAACCCCAGTGAGCATTGGTATAGTTTTCAGTCAGGTCTAAGAAGTAAAGTTAATTTAGAATTTTTTGTTGTTGTTGTTTTTCCCTTCTAATAGCTTTAGTTCCGTAAAATCAGAAGGAAAATTTGTTCCCCGACATGTAAAAAAGCAAAAAACTTCAATAAGGCAGGGTTATTAAAAAAAAAAAAAAAAATAAAACTTGATTAAAGATGTAAAAAGCAGTGAAGATAATTTCACAAAACAGCAGGGGCAATTGGAAAGCACTTATTAAAGTACCTGTTAAAGTAATTAGTGATAAAAATGGAAATTTTCAGGCACTTCTGTACCTCTTAGATCCCAGAATAGGCTTGGGCTGTGCTGACTCACTTCCTCCCTTTGATCAAAGTCATAGAAAAAGACAAAAGGGAAACTTCAGAGACTCGAAGAACAGCAACCAAGCCTGAGTCAGTCGTGCAAGGTGGCTCTCCATCTGCCAACAGGTCTGACTGACCTGCTGTGGAAGCTCTACCCTTCCATCCTGTTTCTCACTGTTCTGCCACTTTTCTAGTATGCTGTATCTGAACTTTGGATGTTTCTCCCATTTTGTGTAATGACTTCAAACCAAGAGATTTGGGGTCTTTTAGGGAGGCCACCGTCCCTGTTGTATGCAGTTATTGTACAGAATCTTACACATATTCCACTGTACTATTAAGACACAAACTCCCATCCCTAACCCTACCCATCACCATTACCCTACCACGAAATCTTTTGCATGTTCTGCTTCAAGAATTCTTGTGTTTTACCCTCCTGTGTGGATTTGGGTTCACTACTGACCTCATAAACTCCACTAAGGAGCTTCCTTGCATCTCTCATATTTCATAGTCATAGTCAGGATTCTGTACACAGTAGATGCCTTATAAATGCTGCCTTTTGGACTAATTAGAGTGGAAGCTCCCAAGAGATAGTACGCAGTTTTTATCCACATCCGTTTTTCCACAGCTCCTCAGCCTGTGGCCCTCTAGGCACTCTTAATGGAATTGCAGTGGATAGGATAGATTTGAGATGTTCTACTCATCAGTCTACTTTGCAGAGACCTCAAAAAACTTCGTAGTCACTAAACCAACTGCTCCTCCCGGAGGCAGCCACTAGATAATCAGGTTGTCATGGTAGCAGGGACCCTTGAAGAAGGCTTCGAATACAGCTATGGAATAATTGTTTTCAAAAGCATTTTATAACCTTGGATCCTGGAGAAGCAGAAAGGAAGATATAGAACCATGTCATTTGCCAAGGCACCATCCAGAGTGAAACAGAACACTCTCAAGGCACCTAAAGATGTATGTGCATGTCAAGTTAAAAAGTTGTCAGGGAAAATAGTTTCAGGAAGTCCTATTGTAGGTGGCTTAAAAATTAGTTATAAAATTTTCAGAGTCTAAAGTGAGATCAAATGATGGATATATTCTTTAAAGGTCTTCTAGAGGAACATTTGAAACATACCCTTTACATCTAGTCAGCAGGATGGCTGGATGTAGATATTGTGTTTTATCTTTGTATCCCAAAATGGAAATAGTACCATGATTAATTAAATATCAGCTTTTATCCAAAAATATTTTGTTCCGGGCTCAAATTTTTGTGAATCTAAGAAATGACCATCTCATACTGAGTTATATAACAGGCAGTTATGTAATATTTAGTTTTATAATAAATTCTTAATGCATTAGAGTGAAACCCTATGAAATGTGAACCTGGGGAATCTGCCACAATCACTCTTGATGGATTTTTGAAGGGCTGACGAAAATCACTTTTCTGAGTGTGGCAAAATATTAGCCTAGTATGTGAGTAAGGCGAAACTTGTTTTTAACACAATTTGATGACGAAAACTTCCATACAGAGAAGTCATGTTTATCAGACTGAACTATTTTGAGAGATTTCCTTGAATTTACTTTTAGCAAGTCTTACACATGCAAATGAAAACTGCCTTATCATCCAACAGAAGGAACAAAGCTTACTCACTTAGCTGCATGTGATTCAAAGAAGTATTTAAGACACTTCTCTTACATATGCACTAAGCCTGCCACAGATATTTCCTTCCCCCATAACAGAGGATATTCAGAAAGAAAATCCCAGGAATGCGTAGAAAGTCAGTAATATCAAAAGATGCTCAGCGGGTGTCAGAAGAACTCTCCCAGGTTTGCTCCCTAACTATGGGATTAAAAGGAATGAAGCACTGGGCCCATGGCCAGTCTAGGAATTGAGTTGTGGAACAGAAATTGGGTCTTAGGAACCTTTCTGTAACCTGACAGACAGGATCAGCTCTCTGAAGTGAAGACATTAATTTACAGCTGAAAAAAATCAAAAAACAGTGAGCCGTTCGTCCAAAAAATCAGCCCGAAGTCCAGGTGAGTAGATGTAGGAAAAGATGATCCCTAAACAAGGCCGACTCCAAATGAAAAGCCTGCCAAGATGGTGGAAGGCAGCAGAGCTCAGAAAGACAGTGGGCAGGAGCAGATAGGATTGTTCACTGAGACAGGAGGGACTAGTAACAGCTGTTAGCATCTCTTCTCTTGGGTCAGGTGTTGAATGAAGATAATGGTGGCAAGAAGGCAGATTCCAAGAAATTCTTCTATGATTCCTACCTTGAAACTTCTGAGAATATAAAAAATATCTTCCAGTGAGTGGAGCATACTACGAATAGAACTCAGGGAACGGTGATAGGTAAAGAAGGTTTAGCAGCAATCATATGGCAATAAGAGACTTTTTCACCTTGTGAATATAGCAGCAATTCAACAATACGGGCCTTGAAACCATTCCTTTCAGCTGATTTTTTCCACAGAGGGGAAAAATGAAATGAATGTAAGAGTAGTGCAATAAAGTTTGGGATTGTTTCACTATGCAGCGAGGTTAAGTATATCAAGGAGATAGAAAGAGATCAGATTTAAAAAATTCATTCACTTCTACTCTCCTTTGCTGAACCTAAGATGCCATGCTGGTAAAGTCTATTAGTCAAATGTATGCCATGCTTAATCTTTTCTTTTTGTACAGATTCAGAGGTACCTCAGTTCATGAACTTAATTCTTTTCACAATTCTGGTGGCAAACTCAGTTGAGTGAATCAAATTTTCCCAAAGATCAGTATTGAACCTAATCATTGAATTTGATTTGGTTCTTGTCCAATTCAGTTTGCAACCAAAATCATGGAAATAACTAAATTCATACACCAAAGTATACTGTATTTGGCTTTTAATAATTGAGCAGAGAATAATTACATGAATGATTGTGGAACCATATTAACTTCAAGAATTCTGGATGAAGAGAAGGGAGCTGTGGTTAAATGATTCTTTTCTGTCCTTTTTCGTTTTTTCTTAAGGCTAACCTAAGAATATGTAAACACCTGATATGGAAAAATTCTCATATTCCTTTTCAGGCTTTAAAAGTATATCATCAAATACAAAAGTTGTTCAGTACTCTGTTTATTTTGTCTAGTATGATTTCCCATTCTACCCAGGCTTCGGGATGAAGATCTTTTTCGTCTTACATTGCACCCAAAATCAGGCCTCAGTGTCTTCCTGGCCTTCATAATCGCTGTCTTAACGTTAAGACATCACCAATTTCTGAGTCAAAATCAACAGGCAGAATTCTATTAAATATAACAAACCATCACTGAGCATCTGAGGAAGTGCACCTTGGTAAGGAAAGGAACAGAATGGAAAAGTCACATCCTCCAGCCAGTTCCAAAAGACTCAAGAGCACCTTGGTCTCCAGTCCCCACTGCCATCACTAACACTCGAGCTGCAGAATCAGTCACTGCCACTCTGAAGGGACCTCCACCTTTATCCCAGCAGATAAAGGACAGCTTGTCCTTGGCAGTCTTTGGAAGGGATCAAGTCTCTGCCTGATGTTACAGATACAGAGTTGTGCAGAGAATATAGCACTGTCTTATAAGGACAAGTTAACCCCCAGGTAGGACTGACCCAGGGCCCTGCTACCCTGACATTGTCAGATCTTCAAAGTTTTTTATACCAATCTAAAGTATGTATTGTACTAGAGATTAGTTCGTCAGCAACCCTCCCTACACTTGATCTCATGTGTAGTGACAAGTCAGCCTCATCCCATGAAACTGAGATCCTCAGTTCAAGAAGTCACATGGGTCTACCGACAGCCGTTAGATATGCATGTGTAAGTGTGTGCAGAGTGCTTCTCTCAGAAGAGAGCAATGTCAGCCAGGTCAATGATAGCTATGATAACAAACCCCAAATGAATCATGGCTGAAACTCCATGTAAATTGATTTCTCCCTCTTGTAAAATCCTGTTACTTCCCATCCCAGAGGGGCTGTCTTCCAGTAGGTGATACAGGAATTCAAATTCTCTTCATCTAGTTGGCTCCATCTCTGACATTTGGCTCC